TTCCAGAAAAAATGAAAATAAATCTTTTGTAAATAAGGAGGGGAAGAAGGGTCAAAGGGGGGATGGGAAAAAACGGAAGCAAGATATATTATTTACAGGTACAAATTCTCTATGATGAATGTTATCATTATGTATATCTAAAATGTACCAATAAAGGTTTCCCTTCAAAAAAAGTAATATTATGTAATGATTCACCAGAAAGCTATTAACAATCCTAAACATGTATCCACCTAACAAGATAGCTTCAAAGAAAGAAAGAAAAGCTGGAAATAGCTCAGCAATAGAGTCCCTTGGATGGATCCCTTTCCCTCCAAAAAGCAGAGAAAGCCCAAGAGGAAGGGCACGACCTGCTCCCTTCACCCAGGCCTCACATCCTGAGTTCCCTTCGCCACCCATCAAGTTATTAATCCATCCATAGATTAATCCACTGAGGAAGGTAGAACCCTTATCATCTAATCACCTTCTGAAAGCTCTTCAACTGGCAACCAAGCCCCATCACAAAGCCTTTGGAGGACTTAATTAATTAATTTGAGACAGGGTGTCACTATGCAGCTCAGGCTGGCCTTGAACTCATGGTGATCCTCCTACTTCAGCCCCTGAGTGCTGAAATTACAAACATGTGCCACCATGCCTGGCTATTTTTTTTTCTTTGCAGTACCAGGGATTGAACTCAGGACCTTGCACTTGTGAGGCAGGCAAGGTGCCACTGAGCTAAATCCCCAGCCATATTTGGTTTTTGGGGGGCGGAAACAGGTTCTCCCTATGTAATTCAGACTGACCTTGAGCTCACTATGTATCCTGGCTGGGCTCAAATTTGTGGTAATCCTCCTGCCTCAGCCTCCGGAATGCTAGTATGACAGGTATGTGCCACTATGGCCGGCTTGGAGGACATGTTAGATCCAAACTATCACAGGGGCTGAGACAGGACTTGTAGTTTTCAAAAATCCCCAACCTTTTGTTGCTAGCACAAGGGCAAGGATTGGCAATCCTTCCTTCTGAAGGAAAGGGGGCCTGGTGGTGTGTGTGTGTTTGTATATCCATATGTGTGTCAATTCAAGAGAGGATAGTGCTAGGAAAAGTTACCTGGTTGGCTACACAGTGAAGTTAAAACACTTTATTTGGGCAGAGATCTCTCTGCAGAGGGCATAGAAATACTGAGAACAGCAAGACTCTTTGGGTTTATTCAGATGCTCTGGGAAGTCGGGACACCACAAAATCACTGCAAAGACAGACTCTTCTGCTTATCGGTGAGGTACAAAGACACCTAAAGTTTTTACAAATTCTTCTAGATATCAGGCTGGAGGTTGCAGTTTCAATAGAAAGAAAGTGGCTACCATCATCTCCGGTCTCCCTGACACAAGATCATCCTCAAATCTGGCTTTCCTAACATGTCATAGAAATTTTGTGTCTTAGTTACTTTTCTTGTCACTGGGTCACAGTAGCCCAACACCTGCAAATTAATGGAAGAGAGGTTTATTTTGGCTCACAGTTTGCAGAGGTTTGAGTCCATAGTCGGGTGGCTCCAAGGCAAGATAGCATGGCTGAGGGACATGGCAGAGGGGAAACAGCCCATGGAAAGTTAGATAGGGAGTAGAGAGATCAAGGAAGAGGAAGTGAGATAGTCATATACCCTTCAGGCGATGCCCCCAGTGGGCCACCTCCTTGGACCAGAGTTCACTTCCAACATTGAATTTAGCTATAAACTCATCAGTAGATTAATCCACTGATGAGAATCTTGTCTCCATGATCCAATAACCTCCCAAAAGCCCCACCTATGAGCTCATGAAGCTTTGGGGGAGGGGGAGACATTTAGATATAAACCATCTTGTTCGCATAGCTAAAGAATCAGGGAACTTTGCCAGAATCATTCAAAAGATCCATCTCCCTACTCCAGTCACTCTTCTAGCTTTTTTAAAAAATGCAAGTTTTTTTTTTCTTTCTGATTGCACAAGTTGCACCACATGGAATAATGTGTTTGTTGCAGAAAATTTGTAATGTTTACTTTCCCCCCTTTAGGATAAATTGAAAATTATGGTATTAGTCAATTAGAGGTATACCTCAATTTACATCCCCACCCACTGTGATGGAATGCCCACCCACCAACACTACATATCTAATCATGCTTTAATCTTTGCTAGATTGAGTAGCAAACATCAGTAACTCAGGTCTGGGTATGTGGCTCAGTGGTAGAATGTTTGCCTGGCATAAATGAATCCCTGAGTTTCAGCACCACAAGAAAAACATAGATCCATAACTCACTTTGATTCACTATTCTTTGTTTGAGCGAGGCTGAACAGTTTTACATATTTTCTCCAAAAACTCCAGTTCAATTATACTTTCCCTTTTTCAAAAGAAGATAGATCCTTTCCTCCTTTTTTTTTTGTCTTATAAGACCTTGGGATAAGGAAGCCCTGGAAGACCAGTTTGGGTACTTGGACTGGGCGTCCTATATAACTGGCTTACTAAGGTTTTTTTTGTTTCTAGATAGGATTTCTCTATGTAGCCCAGGCTAGTCTTGAGCTTATTATGTAGCCCAGGCTGGGTTCAAACTTGTAATCTTCCTGCCTTAGCCTCCCGAGTGCTGGGATTACAGTGTTCAACACCACAAAGGACTGATTATAGCTTGTAAATGAAAGTTCTGGTGCACACAGTATTCTTGAGGGTGCATTTCTACTTTGGAAGTAGGGAGTATGTGGTAACTTGAAAAATCTCTGTGGTTTCAGACTTAGTAGTGTGATGTAATTTTTCTCAGGAGAGCAGTACTAGGGGTCATCCCAGGGCCTGTCACATTGTCTGGGCAGATGCCTGCAGATGGAGCAATTAAACTCTGCAGGCTCTGGGCTGAAGAACTGAAGATTAACCTGTAACCTCAAATGAACTCTTAATACAAAACAAAAAACAAACAAAAAACCCCCAACAAAACTCCAAACTAAGCCAAAACCCCAGAAACAAAACAATATGCTTCCCTGTTCTCTCCTATCTATTTTTTTCTTTTCTTTTTTATTTTTGCAGTGTTGGGGATCAAATCCAGGCCCTTGTAGGTGTTAGGTAAGCACTCTCCCCAGACCCCAGCAACTAGCACTTTAGTGTTTATCATGAATGGGATCCCTTGTTTATCACTTTACAGCCATATCTAATTATTTAGAGGTGTTTGTTTTGTCTTATTATGTTTTTGTGGTACTGGAGAGTCCACCCAGGGTCTTGAGCATACTAAGTAAGTGCACCATTGCTGAGCTACACTCCCAATTCTTTTTATTTTTTTGAGACAGGGTCTTGCAATTTTGCCCAGATTGGCCTCAAACTTAGGATCCTCCTGCCTTAGCCTCCTAAATATCTGGAATTACAGGCTGGGCCACTACGTCTGGTTAGAGTTAATTTTAGCGTGGGTCTGAAACAGCCCCCTCAATATTCAGGAAGAAAGATGTTTCAAATCCTGATTTAGAACTTCCTGAAAGGGCGAAGGGTGAGTGACAGTATAAATATCATCAGGGCATGTCTAACAGAAGCAGTTTTACTGCAGAAGCGACCTTGGGTCTACATCAGCTGGCAAAGCTCCCCGGGTAAGCCAGTATGTCTTCCTTCTGGAAGACCACATTCTCAGGGCTCTAAGGGGCCTTTTCTGCTTGTCTCATTTTTTATGCGCCTCCAAGGAAGGATTCTATTTGATTTACACAGTTAGAAGAGTTCTATTAAAATAATCATGATTGGAATTTCACAGTCTGTGCAGGGAGCATCGTAAACCAGAAGGGATGGAGGGAATGTTTAATGTTTTGGTTCTCTGCCTTTGTCGACCTACTAACTGCTAATGAGCGGTGGTATTTGTCAATGATGGGGCAATGTAATCCTGAGTTCAAGGCAGTGGTTGGCTGGGAACCAATGAAGACTTTAGAGCAGGAACTTTAGTTTTTGAAAGGTCTTCTTGGCTGCTCTGTAGAGGAAAGTTTGGTTAGGACCAAACCAAAGTTGACAGTAGGGAGGACAGGTGGTGGATGAGGAATAGGGTGGCGGAGCAGGAGGCAGACGGTTGGCTGAGGAGGTATTTCGGAGGCTGGTATTTAGGAGGCTAAGGAGGTATTTAGGAGGATTGGACCATTGACAAGAGGGTGAAGGAGAGGGAGATATCGAGATGACTCCTAAATCCCTCCCTATGTACTGCCTTCCCACTGAGCTATATCCCCAGCTCCTTTTTGATTTTTAATTTTGAGACAGGGTCGCATTAAATTGCTAAATTGCCCAGGGTGGGGTCAAACTTGTAGCTCTCCTTCAGCCTCCCAGAGTGCTTGCACCAGCACACCAGGCTCTCCCAAGTCTTTTGATTTGGATCTCTGGTCAGATGGTGAAGCCCTTCTGGGAAAGGGGAGGAGAGGAGGAAGAGAAGGTTTGGCGGGAAAATTAGTTCAGGACAAGTTATGCTTGAGGGACCTGTAGGACCTCAAAGGGTGTAGCATTTAGGAGAGTGGGCTGGAATGATTGACACAGAAATTGAGAGCAAGCCACAATGTATTGACAGTAAGGAACTAGAGAAGCCGCTTGTGTTCGGGTGTTTACGGTGTGGCGATCTATTAGCTGGGAATTCAGCCTCAGGACCACCTGGTCTGGTGGTTCGGCGCTCGCTGTCTGAACCTGGGCGGTCCGGGTGGAGGCGGGTATTTGCCCCGCCCAATCCCGCCTTTTACGTCCCCTTTCTCTCTTCATCCATTGGTTAATACAACAGTCAGTCAAGAGCTCGCCTCCCAATGTAAGCCAATCAGAGGTGATGGGAGGGCGCCTTCCTCGAGCTTGTTCTTGAATTGGGGCCTCACTGGGGGAAGTGAGTAGCTAGTGGCAGCAGCTGCTGAACTGTGCGCAGCCGAGAAAGTGGGGGTCCGATCTGCTGGCAGCAGCTCAAGCTGGTGAGAAGAGGGCGAAGGTCCGAGGTAAGCAAGGAGACCAGCCGGGGACATAGATGCCACTTTCTGAGCCTGTCCTCGCCGGCCCCTTGGCCGTCCACGGCGCGCGGCACGGGCTCAGGTGATAGGGCGAAGTGCGGAGATGAGGTGACGCGAGAGGGCGGGACAAGTGGGGCCCACGGCCACTGTCACCCCACTGGCTCGCATTCGCCACGTGGCCCCGGCCCCGCAGGCTGGTGGAGGACTCGGCTGCCTACCGGGAGCGCGCCTTTTTTTTTTTGGTACCGGGGATCGAACTGGGGTCCTTGCACTTTACGCAGCAGGCGGCGAAACCACTGAGCTAAATCTCCGGCTCTGGAGCCCGCTTATTAATTGCTTTATCTCTGAACACGCCGTGAGTTTTGCATCCCCATGGAATTCCTGTCTTTTACAACCTGCGAAGCCGAGGCTTGGAAACACCTACTCCGTGTTTCCGGGACGCGGCTGCGCTGGGGTCTGGAGGAAGTCGAGTTTGGCAGACTCCGGAGCCCCGGTTTTATTTAGGAAGCTGTGGTCCGAGACTTGAAATTCAGACCTGTTTGTGTTGTTTGAGTCCGGGCTCAGGCGGGCTGCCTCGAGTCGTGCAGCTGCTCGCCGGGCTAAACCCTCTGCCTCTGACCGACCTCTCCTGCCCTAAGCTCAGTGGGGAGGGGAGGGGACAGTCCTCGGTGCTGGGAGCTCTTGAGATCCCAGCAAACAAACTAGGGGAGGGTAGGATTCATAAGTAAAATCTTAAAACTTGTAGGAGACTTCCCTTTTCCCAGGTTATGGATAGGAGCTAATTATAATAGGACAACTTTTTTCCTTCCTTCCTTCCTTCCTTCCTTCCTTCCTTCCTTCCTTCCTTCCTTCCTTTTTTCCTTTCCCAAGGAAAACTGAGAGGGTAGTGAAAGTACAAGAAAACTATTTCCTTCATGCCTTTGTGGAAGCAACTGTAAAGCTTTTGTAAATCAGTTTGGCAGTACAAATCTACACGCTTTGACCTACTGATTCCCTGTTTTGGAAATAAGTAGGTTAAAACCTAAGCAAGGAAAAGGATGTTGCATAAGACCATGCAGTTTGATGTTTTATAAAGAACTGGTTAGGGGAAAGAACCTTTAGATCCCCAGCAGTAGAGAACAGATAAGTAAATTGAGATTGTTTATGCAGAAAATGCTATATTGTGTGTCCTATAAATGTATTTATTACCGAAAAAATATCTCTTAACAGGAAAACCAGATTCAAAGTTGTAGGTACAATATAAAACTGTGTACAGAATGAAGGAATATATGCTTTTTATCAGAAGGGTCATATTTTATTAAATTCTTACAAAACCTTAAAAGGCTGGTATTGGTCCCATCCCATCAGTGCATAGCTGGAGTTCAGACCGGTGAAGTATGTCTGTGTTGTATATATGTACATACAGTGTATATGGTAGACAGCTAGTGTCTCACCTAGTGTGTTACTGGACCTCTGAAAATGTCACATTTAGCTAATGTTTGCCAGGTACACAGTTTAGCCCTATTGTCTGCCAGGTACGGGGCTAGACACTGAAGAGCTGTTGGTAAGGAAGCTACAGTTCCCAGAGTTTTAGAGCTTGTGCACTAGTGGGGAAGCAGGTGAACACTTGTATTCTGCTGGAGAGATTGTGAACATGGGAGATAGGACTAGGCTCTCATAAGAGAAAGGACTTGGGAAAGAGAGGAAAATGGGGTCCTGGGGTCCTGGGGTCCTGGGACAGCTAGAAGGAAAGTATAAAGCCCTAAGTGGCTCTGTAAGCGTAGAGCGTATGTACATATCTGTTTTCCAAAAATTCTGGAATGTGTTTATGTGAGATAGTGAATGAGGGTTCTTACATAGTATTTTAAGTTTACTCAATTCTTTTAAATTGTTGAAATCACTTTTGTCCTGGATATTAGCAAATGTTTCAGAAGTCAGTATTTTTAAGAAATTAAATTTTGAAGCTCTCTTAAATTCTTTAATTTTCAGGTTTAACAAATCCTCACTTGGTGGCATAGTTTCAGAATGTCAAGTACTGTGTCCTACTGGATCTTAACTTCTACCAGGAGCTGCATTCTCACATTACAAGGTAGCAGACACTTATACTCAAGGTGTATCTCAAAAAGGAATCAATCCAAATGGAGGCTCCTTTCCTGGGCATCACCTACCTTACAAAACAGTTCACCATGTGGCGCCTTCACTGTGCAGAAAGCCTACAGACACACATCAACAGAGGAAGAGGATTTCCACCTGCAACTCAGCCCTGAGCAGGTAAATGAAGTGCTTCGAGCTGGTGAGTCAGCCCACAAGATTCTTGATTTGGACAACGAAGTCCCAAGTTCTGTATTGCGGTTTGAAAGCAACCAGTTGGCTGCGAATTCCCCAGTGGAAGACCGTCGAGGAGTAGCCTCCTGCCTGCAGACCAGAGGACTGATGTTTGGCATCTTTGATGGACATGGTGGTCATGCATGTGCACAAGCAGTGAGTGAAAGGCTCTTCTACTATGTGGCAGTGTCCCTGATGTCCCACCAGACCCTGGAGCAGATGGAGGGAGCGATGGAAAATATGAAGCCCCTGTTGCCTATCCTGCAGTGGCTCAGGCACCCAGGGGACAGTATCTACAAGGATGTCACATCAGTGCATCTTGACCACCTCCGTGTCTTTTGGCAGGAATTGCTTGACTTGCACATGGAAATGGGGTTGAGCATTGAGGAAGCATTGATATACTCTTTCCAGAGACTGGATTCTGATATCTCACTGGAAGTCCAAGCTCCCCTGGAAGATGAGATAACAAAGAATCTGTCACTCCAGGTTGCTTTTTCTGGGGCAACAGCTTGCATGGCTCACGTCAGTGGAGTTCACTTGCATGTGGCAAATGCTGGTGACTGCCGGGCCATCCTTGGTGTTCAAGAGGACAATGGCATGTGGTCTTGTCTACCTCTCACCTGTGACCACAATGCCTGGAACGAGGCTGAGCTCTCTCGACTTAAGAGGGAGCACCCTGAGTCAGAGGACAAGACAGTCATCATGGATGACAGGCTGCTGGGTGTCCTTATGCCCTGCAGAGCCTTTGGAGATGTCCAGCTGAAGTGGAGTAAAGAGCTGCAGCGCAGTGTCCTAGAGAGGGGCTTTGATACCGAGGCCCTCAACATTTACCAGTTCACCCCCTCACACTACTATACGCCACCTTACCTAACTGCCAAGCCTGAGGTTACATATCACAGGCTGAGGCCCCAGGATAAGTTCCTTGTGCTGGCCTCAGATGGGCTGTGGGACATGTTAGGGAATGAAGATGTGGTGAGGCTGGTAGTGGGGTTCCTGTCTGAGGCAGGTCGCCACAAGCCAGACCTGGCCCAAAGACCTACCAACCTGGGACTCATGCAGAGTCTGCTGCTGCAGAGGAAAGCCAGCGGACTCCACGCAGCTGACCAAAATGCAGCCACACATCTGATCAGACATGCCATTGGAAGCAACGAATATGGAGAAATGGAACCAGAACGGCTGGCAGCAATGCTGACATTGCCAGAGGACTTGGCAAGGATGTACAGGGATGATATCACTGTCACTGTAGTGTATTTTAACTCAGAGTCAATTGATGCACATTATAAGGGGGATTAGGAGTGAGCTATTCAAGCCTGGCTGTTAAAAGGACAGGCAGATAGATATAGCTTGCTGAATATTTGACTAACAGAAGAAGGAAACAAAACTGCCTGGGTTTCAAAGCTGTAACAGTGACTTTATGCCCCTGCATGTGCTGGTCAACTCTTTGGTCCAGAGGGCGGGAAAAAAAGTCCGTAGAATTGGCTTGGGCTCATATAGTCCAAGTCCTTTATAAGGACACTTGAAATGTGTCATCTGGAGCTTTTAAAGGGTAAATTTGATCATGATCATAAGAATGAAGAACTTCAGGATCTTCTGAGGTCCAGCTGCAAAAATATGCAAATTTGATAATTCTGAATTCTCAATCATGCACTTCTAGATTATGAAGTCTTGTTTTGTTAATTACTAAGGCCTAGGTTTAGAAAGCATATTACAGAACACTTTTCTATGCAACATTTTTAACTTTTTTTGAATATTTTTGTGAAGACATTCTGTAATACTGCATTCTAAGTCTGTTTTAGTTCATTTAAAAGCTGAATCCTTAAAAAATAAATAAATAAAAAGGAATTAGGATTTTAAAACCCCCAAAAAACTGAATCCTTGGGCTGGAGATGTATGTAGCTCAATGATAGAGGACTTGCCTAGCCTGTGAAATACCCTGAGTTTGATCCCCAGCCTCACAGAAATAAAACAAAAAACCTGAATCCTCAAATTTGCAAACAAGCCTCCTGTAAAGCATGTTTGGGACAAATTGTTTTTCAGCTGAGGATGAGAAGGGCTAGGCCTCTGGACCAGCTGAATTTACTTATGCAACATTTGGCCCCTCCGCTGAGTTTCACCCATAAAACTTTGAGCCATAGTAGGAGAAAATTTATGTCTAGTTCTTAACTCCTGGCCTTTCTTGTACATGAGTAAGATGTCACTCCATCTTAGCTCCTGGTGGGTTATTCATCTTTTTTTTAAGCCTTTCTGATTATATCTCTCAAACATTCTTCTGTGATTTCCTTCTGACATAGTCCTTCTACCTCTGCTATGCTGTCCAACCTTACCCTGCAGCTGCTAACAATGCAATACCAGTATCTGAGTCCTTTACTGTCTTCAAATGGTTACAGAAAAGGGGCCAGTGTGATCACATGTGGAGGTTATGATGGACATTTAGGCAGGACAGTCTTCAGTGGTTTGTGGATTTAATTATTATTATTATTTTATTATTATTTGGTACTGGGGATCGAACTCGGGACCTTGTGGTTTCAAGGCAGGTGCTGGAACCACTGAGCTAAATCCCTGGCCCCTGGTTTGTGGATTTAAGATTCAGCCTGAACTCAAGAGAGGTGAAAACTTGAAGGGTCTAAGGAGAACAGTCAGTAGCCAAGGTTCTGTCTGCATCCTGAGAGGCAGTGGGGAGATGGGAGGAGTGAGACTTACCAGGTGGTTCACCTGCCTGAGACTGTGACAAATTGCCATTGCTACTCCTTAGGAATTAGACCATATTTAGTATAGGAGTTGAGGCAAAAATAAATACGTAACTTGTAATGGTTTCCATGGGTTGCAGTCTTTGTATTTACTTAAAAATTAACCCACATGGATCCTTTTTGGGGGATAAATTTCTTTTTCTCGTGAGTAGCTATGGCATTTGAACAACAGGAAATGTGTCCCTAAAGGGAAACACAAATATAATCCCCAACCCACAGATTTAATTTTGTGCCAAATCAAGCAGAATTCTTCAGTATAATTGAACTACATTAGTTGATCCCTCTCCTCTCACCCCCTCATGTCCATTGGAAAGAAAAAGCAAATAACTAGGTCCAGCTTCCTTATTTTTACCTGTCCCAGGTGAAATTCAGTCAAGAATTGGGATATGTCTCTCTTGGGGATGTTTCTGGGTACATTTTCCAGTTTACCTGTTTAGTGATGTGGCTTCATTTAAGAAATTTCTCTTTTGGAGCTGGGTGTGGTGGCACAGGTCTTTAATCCCGGCACTCGGATTGAGGCTGAGGCAGATAGATCTCAAGTTTGAGGCCAGCCTGAGCTACATAGCAAGACCCTGTCTCAAAAAAAAAAAAGAAAAGAAAAAAGTGCCTTGGGCACATAAACCCTGTTTATTCTGAAACCATTACTATTCCTTCTGATCTCCTAGACCTTAACTCAGAATGTGAATCACTACCATTCTCTTAATGGTTTAGCATAAAAGTTTGCTGCTGAAAATGAGAACTTTACTTAACTGACATTTCCTGTCCTTCCTTTTTCATGCCAGCTAAACCCTTGGAGCCTGGCATGGGTCACAAATATATGCAATTTAGTAACTTGTGCAGCAGCGGAGAGAACAGACTTCCCACCTGTGTCTGAAAAGCACATCTGGTTTTTCTCTGCCTAATAGATTTTCCTGCTTTGTAGGTGGGATAGTGAGGGAGAAGAAAGGCTTGTTTGTTGTTTGCCTTTTTTTCTGTATAAACTCCTAGCTCTTCCCATGAATGTTCCAGGTAGCATTGCCTTCTGGTTAAACTCCAGCTGTCTTTCTCCCTGACTGGTTCTTGTCAGTGGCTTTCCTGAAGCACACATGGACTACTGCTTGGGACATTGCAATTAGAAAGAAGGTTAGTGGTCCTTGTCAGATCTTCCAAAGTACTCATCATTACTTTTATATAGAGATTTCAATTTTGAGACTATTTAAATGAATTTTACAAATGAGATTGACCATTTAATATTGTGGACATAATTTTTGAAGTGTGCTTAGGTGCACACTTACAATTTTAGGTAAGAAACTGATAATATTGGCATAATTTAGATATTTATATATAAATAATACAGCTCTGGTACTCTAGATGGTATTCTAATTTCAAATTACGCTAGATCAAGTTACTGAGATTTGGCTTTCTGAGATGTTTGTAACATAAAAGCTAATTTATTATAATTAAAATGTAAGTTTGAAGTATGTTAATATATAAGCATTTTTCCTAGTACATGTGGCCTAAAACATCTCCAGCATTAGGCTACTGGGTAAATTTCGTTTGGGACATAATCTAGTTGGCATCTTTTAAACATAAATGAAGTATAAACAGCTTGAGAACTACTTAAAGGAAAGTGTAATTATGTGGAGCAAAATAAAATAATTGTTCAGAATGAGTCTGGCTTAACTCTTCTCCATCAGACCTATTTTCTTTTCGCAGCTTTGGGAAAGCCTTAACTTCCCAGGTTAACCAGAATATCCTAGAACTGAGCCATCCTAACCTCACCATAAAGTGGTTCATTTGTCTCTGAACTGTGACTCTTGTGGCACAAAATGAATGCATTGGGTACCCTCGGAGCTGGAGATCCAGGCTGGTGTCAGAGCTAGTGACACAAGCTGCCATGTGCATGATCTGAGGGGAGTGCCTGTTTGGGCTGCTGCATAACCGACCCTGGGCGGACCAGGCTCTGTCCTTGCCTTCTGGAAAATACTTATCAAGCATTTTCTTGGAATAATTATTAACCATGTTCTTTAATAATTACTGGCAATTGTATTTTAAACTGCATACCAGTGTTCATAATTGATACCAATTTTCTAACCGTTAGAGATATTTAAAATGTAAATAAAAGAGGCAAAATGAAATTTGGTTTTCTTTGGTTTGAATACTAATTTTTCTAGCCCTTAGGACATTAGGTTGGGCCAAGTTTTTTTTTTTTTTTTTGTACAGGGGATTGAACTCAGGACCTTGCACTTGCAAGGCAGGCTGTGGCACCACTGAGCTAAATCCCCGGCCCTGGCCAACTTATTTTTCACCCTATTTATCTGTCCAAGGAAGAGTTTAGTCTAAGAATCCACCCAAAAGAGAAGATAGTGCTCTACAAATTTTGGAGGGCTGCTGAGCACACAGGAAGCTCTCATTATGTTAACTATGTGTGTAGGGGTTGGACCTGGGAAGAAGGAAAAGGAACTGAAGGCTTCTGTTGTGAGAGTCTCTGGATACTCAGGGCCAAGGCCTGCTGGGATTTCAAAATTTTTAACTGAACTTTTAAAACTGATTTGTAGGGCTGGGAATGTAGCTCAGCAGTGCAGCGCCTGTCTGGCAAGCAAATGAGGCCATGAGTTCCATTCCTGGTACCAAGCAAACGAAAAAATCCAACTTTTGTAAAACCAGTATTTGTGTGAGTTGTAAATGTAGAGCCAGCTTTGGGCAAAAGGTCTTGGCATCTACTTCAACAGAACTGAAAACCACTCCAGCAACCCCCACTGACCACTCAGTCTCATTGTACCTAGGGAGGAATAGCTTGGTTATAAGGACTGTTGCAGTGTTTTTGTTTGTTTTTTGTTTTCAGTACTGGGGATCGAACTCGGGTCCTTGCGCTTGCGCAAACAGGTGGCGAAACCACTGAGCTAAATCCCCGGCCCATTGTTTGTTTTTTAATGGAGACCTAGCTTAATAGACAAACAAACATAATAAACAACTGAGGATGTAGCTCAGTGTGAAGGCACTGGGTTTAATCCTGGGTACCACAAAAAACAGAAATACAAACGTTAAGTTACTAATGCTTTAGTGTGGGTTGGGGTGGTTAAGCTGGGCTTCAAGAAGTTTTTTTTAATTGGCATATAATAATTGTACATATTTATGGGGTACAATGTGAAGTTTCAGTATATACATTGTATAATCAGGGTTGTTAACGTCCATTAATTTTTGATCATTCAGCAAATTGTGAGAAAATGGTGGAAAGAAGAGTGTTAGGAGACTAATAAGAATAACAGAAGGAGCTATTACTCCTCTTTTTAACTCAGTACAACTCAGGTTCTGGTTGAATATTCACCCATGACACCATGGTAAGGCAGAGATTTGAAACAAGTTCAGGGCATCATCCCAATACTGGGATTTCAGAAAAGGATAACAGTGCATGGAAAACCTTTTTGCCTAGTTTTGGTCCATTATAGAGGGGCTGGGGAGGAGAGGTTGGTGGTGCTGAAAGGAAACTAAAAGGCTCTTTTGGGGCCATTGTCAAGAATAGAGTTCTAACTCTTGATATTGCTTTGGCAGTTAGGCAGGCTGCATATACTTACATATTCCAGTGCTTCATCATTCTGAAACATAAAAATAGAGGGGACATGGGAGAATTAAAAAAATTTTTTTTTCTTTCTCTTTTTGGTACTGGGGATCGAACTCAGGACCTTGTGCTTGCCAGGCAGGTGTGACATCACTGAGCTACATCCTGGTCCCTAGAATTAAAATTTTAAAATTGAACTGTTTGGACTCTTTAATCAGATAGGGAAAATTAAATTTATAGATTTTATTTTCACCTTTTACCTGTAGAATTTTTGTTTACATTTTACTCGATACTAAATGCCCTTAAATGGTCCCCAGCCTGCTAACTCTCTGAATTGTGAGATGCTAGCCCTTCAAGTGGCTCTCTCTGGGGACAGGTGACCCTATACTGACCTCTGTGTCTTTGCCTCTTTGGCCCCTGACCTTATCTGCTTTTCCCAAGGATATCTTGGTCTGGAAAATGGCCTGGTGGGGACATCAGGGATGAAAAGGCCAGAGCTCCAGTTCTGATTTACGCTGCCAAGGTAATAAGACTATGGAGAGAGGGCTGCTTCGGAGCCGAAACTGTCTCCCATCTCAACTTTGTCCTGCTTGGCCAGCATTCCGAAAACCCTTCACTTGCCCAAACCCATTCCCCTGCAGCCGATAAACAAAGAATATCTGCCCTGAGCTGCTGTTCTCTCCAGCCTGGGCAAACCATGAATGACCTGGAGAAAACCACGCCTAACTATGTAGGGTGGCCCTACCCACCAAGGGGCTGAGAGGTCCACAGCACTGGCCACAGTGGGAACTGAGGGGCCAGAGGAAGGGACACATGAACCCAGTCCAGTATCTGGGGACAGGGCCCCTGGGGCATCATGGAGATCGGTGTGAGAGTGACAGTGAAGTTAAAGTGAAAGTGATGGGGTAGCTACCCAGATGTGGTTGGGTGGGCAAGAAGGTGCCCCTCAGGGGATCTCCAGCCGTGAGAAAGTGAGAAAGATCATGTAGTGGCCCCAGGAAAGGCTGGAACATGGCTTGCTCTCCATCAGCCTGGGGTTGGGTAGGGCAGAGTGGAGATCCTGCCTTAACCCCTCGATTTCCCTGTCGTGTTGCTACCAGGGCTGTGGGGCAGCTATCCTTGTGGCTCTCCTCTCTACCTCCATACTGTAGCCTCAAGCCTGGCTCCCCTACTGCCCAGGGGTGTAAAGACTGATTGAAAAAATGCATGAGGATGAAAATGATATAGAGTGTATGATATAGGGATGATATATGGACCTCCAAACAATATAAGGGGAATATTATAATTCCCAACTGCTAGATGTCCAATACACCAAGTTCGTGTTCTCTAAAATCGAAGAATGAATATAGGAACAATGGAGGTTAAGAGTAGGAAATATTTATTGAGAGATAGATAGCTTCTGTTGAAGAGAGACAGAAGAGGGACCGGAAAGTAGGCTGCCCACAGATCCCACTTCTCAAGGAAGTTTTATAGAGCAAAGCCACAAAGTGAGGTGGGTACAAGGTGGGACAAAACTATAGTCAACCAATAGGATTACAAGTATGGTCACTTAGGTAATATTGGTCCAATGGAAAATCACAAGGTGGGTATGAGGTGGGATAAAACTATGGTCAACCAATAAGATTAGAAGTATTGTTGTTTAGGTAATATTGATTAAATGAAGATCGAATTGGAAAGCAAGGAATGGACAAGGAGGTTTTTGTCCCCCACACAAAATGACTGATGCCCATTTAGAATATCAATCACTGTTCTTTATCCCTAGGGGAAGCCTGCCTTCAATCAGTGCATCTCCAGCCACAGTGGTAATATGTTCCTATCTTCTGCATTGACTTGAGGGCCCAGCATTGTCTGACTGCCTATAATATTTTAACTAACTTAGCTGTATATTATAATAGCACAGGTGGAGGGATGGACAATTAAGGGAGGAGCAGATGGGCTGGGGATTTAGCTCAGTGGTTCTGCTGCCTGCCCTGAAAGGACAAGGTCCCAAGTTCAATCCCCAGTACCAAAAAAAAAAAAAAAATCAAAAAGCGAAAGGGAGGAGCAGATGAAGAAGCAGCAAAAGACAGGGAGGCCAGAAATTTAGTAGGAAAACTGAGTGGTGGTGTGGAAGCAAAGGAGAACGGAGGAAAGTTGGCAAAGTGGGTTCAGTATCAGAAAGACCATGGATTTGGATGGGTAGAAACAATTAGCTAAAAAAGAATCACTACAAGAGAGGCAAGGGCCATTCTGTAGTTTCTCTTGGGGCGAAAGGCACAGGACTGGCCTGGCTGGCAAGGTGGAGGTGAGGACATGGCCCTGTGAGAAGAGGGTTGGCTGAGCCACTGGGATGACCCTACATCTGGAACAAACCAGTGCAGTGGGTGAGGAAGTGGGGTGTGTCTTCAACCAACTCAAGTATCTAGGCTTGTGGAAAGGGAATATGTCCACGTTCACGTAGGGAGTTAGGGGTGTTTGCTGACCCTGAACTAGCCCTTGGCATGGAGGAATGGAGGAGCTGTGCATCTTCTGAGCTATGCCCAGGGCCGTGGTCACTAAGTCCTGAGAGTGGCACGATGAGGACATTAATCCCATCTCACTGAGCCCTTTGCTTTGGGGTACAGTGAGTGAGGCAGTGTGAAAGGCTGCCTATAGGTGTCACCATTTGGCCATGCTACTGTCAGCCTTAGCAAGTGAGAGAGGAGTGTGTTCCTGAGAAGTCCTGAGGCCTATCCTTGGCTGAGCTGGGTCTCCCTGAGACTGCACCCTGCAACAGCCTTCAGGAAACCTCACAGGACTCTGCACATATTTGGGGTTGGAAAAAAGGTAGAGTGGGAGAAGCACCCTGTTTTGTGATGACATAGCCCTGAACTGTGGGGAAGGGGCTGCTGGGAACTCAGGCTGTGCCAGAGCCAGTGGCTGGCTATAGGTGGTGGGAGAGTGGCTGTCACCTTGACCAGCCTCCTTCAGTGTGACTGTTTTCTCTTGTGGACTGACCTACACCTCAGACCCTATCCTGTCAATCCCATTCCCTGTTGCAAGTTCCCACAGCTATCCTCCCAGCAGCCTTGGGGTCCATTCCCTCCTGCCTACCTCTTGTCCTAGCTATAAGAATAGTCGTAGGGCCGGGGATTTAGCTCAGTGGTGCCACCATCTGCCTTACAAGCACAAGGTCATGAGTTAGATCCCTGGTACCAAAAAAAAGAAAAAAAGAAAAAAAAAGAATAGTCCTAGCCACCTTTATCTTCCTCTGTCCTCAAAGGACAATTGTGCCCCTGTCAGTGCCCCCATCATACAGTAGTCAAATCTGACTGAGTCACTCCTCTGCTCAGAACCCTTCCATGGCTCCCCATAACCCTTAGGGGGAGAACTTAGACTTGCGCTCTCTAGGCTGGCCTACTCAACTTCCTTCACTTCCTCCACAGGTATGTGGGCCCAACAGTCACACAAAGCTCCACGCTCCTAGAATGTACCAGGCCTTTGGCCTTGCTGTTCCCTCTGACAGGAATACCTGCCACCCCATCTTTCACCTCCTCTTGATTACTCCTGCTTATTAAGTCTGACTCTGCTGAGCATCATTTGGGCTGGAAAGACTTCCTG